TGTCTGGTTCATATAACAGGCTCCAAATATGGGTGCATTTGGCTCTAACAATGCAACTATTGGAACTACCATCGGTGATCGGGCTGCACCAGTAGCTGCTATGGTTGGAATGGTGAGTTATCTCTAATCATCATAATCTAAGTGCTTTTGCCAGAATTTTACATACATGTACTAATCTTGTGAATGTTAATTTTTTATGAGTTTTCATTTATGCATGAAAGAACTTATGACCTATTATGATCTAACCTTTTCCTTTTGAGTCTCTGCAGAGCAGCGATGGTCGAAGTTTGGCTGATGTGAAGCCCCGAATTGCAGATGAGTCTGTTGAAAAATCTAGGATCTGGAAGCTTACAGAAATTAGTGAACCAACGCAGTGCCGCTCCTTGAGGCTTTCTGATAGTTTGACGGCAATGAGGGTAAGTCTCAGTCTCTACTTTTGTGTAACTTTATATAACTAAGTAATAATTGTGTCCGTATACCCTTTTTTGTGGTCCTTCTAAAATCATCTGCTCATGAATAATTGAACAAGATGTTGTCTCTTTGCTCTGTTGTAGACAGCTCTTTTATTTTTAGGTTATATTAACAATTAGGGACCAAAATTATCATTAGAAATGTTTGCATTTTGCATTATTTAGGGCTTTGATTTTATTCTATGACTAGAGGATGATAATCAACACAAAGAAATACTATATTTCATATGATAATTTTCAGTGACTGGATGAATGTGATGTGTAGAATACCGAGAGATTATTTTAGTTTATAACAATTTCTCATTCAGTACGCAGAGACACACGCGATTGTCGTTCAGATTATAGAATACCTAAAGGACAGTCATTTATTTTTTGTGTTTGATGTAGGTGTCTAGACTAATATATACAAATTCTGGACTTGCCATATTGGCATTAGCATCTAATGCTGTACACAAGCTCTGGAAATGGCAGAGGAATGATCGAAACTTAACGGGGAAGGTATGGAAATTTCTTTAACATCTCTTGTCTAGGTCTGTACTTAGTATCCTTATGTCTTTGGTTTCATGTTTTTTTTCTTAATGTTATTATAATCTAGGCGTTAACAATGATCTTTTCTGTTGTAGGCCACAACAAGTGTAGCACCACAATTATGGCAGCCTTCAAGCGGAATATTAATGACTAATAATATAAGTGATACAAACCCTGAAGATGCCGTTCCATGCTTTGCGCTTTCAAAGAATGATTCTTACGTCATGTCAGCTTCAGGGGGTAAAATCTCACTATTCAATATGATGACATTTAAGGTAGGTCCTTTCTCCATTCATTTCTTTCTTTGCACGTGACTACATTTTCAGGGAAGCTCTGGATTTCAGGTCAATTGGCCTTACATAAAAGGATAAAGTTTTAAAGTGTAATTTATGAAGTTTAAAGACTTTTGATTAAATTCTGAGGCTATTAGTTGGGTCTTTAGGTGGAAAGTGACTGATAATAAGGTTACTTTTGTGGGGAGATTTTCATTTTGCAGAAGTTAATTTCATTTATTTTGTTTCTTTGTGCTTTCTTATTATGCAGACAATGACAACATTTATGCCCCCACCACCAGCAGCTACCTTTCTTGCATTTCATCCTCAGGATAATAATATTATTGCCATAGGCATGGATGATTCATCAATCCAAATTTACAACGTTCGGGTGGATGAGGTCCTTTTAATTGACTTAAAACTTTGATAGCTGTTGATAAATAAGTGGAAATTGTTTGATTAACTGTTTAATCTATTTTCACAGGTAAAAACAAAGTTAAAGGGTCATCAGAAAAGAATAACAGGTCTTGCCTTCTCTCATACTCTGAATGTGCTTGTATCTTCAGGAGCTGATAGTCAGGTGAGAAATATCGGTGTTTGTCCCATGCACGTTTTGTAATGCTAAAGCAGTTCAACGACCCACTATGAGAAAGCAAACATAACTTATAGTCTGAGATGGGAACTTAGATATGTTTAAAGCTCAAGTTTCAAGTAATTGGCTGATTTTGAATTAATTTTGTTTAGTATCTTAGGAAAAAGCTTGTCTGGGGAATGAATCTCCAGAATTCATGATTGCTGATAACATATTTATTTATTGTGCTTTATGTAGGGTCTTTCCCACATGTTTTGTTGTTTGGTTATCCTATTAAAAATTATGTAGAATTTCCTTAGAGGTTTTTTTCATGTCTTATAAAAGGATTCAATATTTCTTGTTGTGGAATTAACTCTCCATTTATGTAATTGCTTCTATTTCCACATCATTTTTTCCCTGCAGCTGTGTGTCTGGAGCACAGATGGCTGGGAGAAGCAAGCTAGTAAGTACTTGCAAATTCCAAATGGGCGAGCAGCATCTCCTCATGCAGATACTCGTGTTCAATTTCACCTAGATCAGACACATTTGCTGGCAGTTCATGAAACACAGATCGCTATTTATGAAGCTCCAAGCCTAGAATGCCTAAAGCAGGTGTGTGAGCTCATTTTCTGTAATATAATTTTTTTTAAAAAAAATTTTATTACTTGTAAAATCTTTGTTGAAATCAAGTGCACTTCGGAGCATATAGTAAGAAGTGTGGCAGCAATGCCAAATTTGACTTTCTAGAAATTGCAGTGTTGGCTGTATGGTTTGCTAGTTAACAATAGTACTTATGTGATTTGGATTTAGGTTTATTAATATTCGTTTTGGAATTATTTTCTGAAATAGTTTGTCCCGCGAGAAGCAAGTGGCCCCATCACACATGCAACATATTCCTGTGATAGCCAATCAATATATGTGAGCTTTGAAGATGGAAGTGTGGGTGTTCTTACTGCTTCAACGTTGAGATTGAGATGTCGGATAGGTCCTGCTGCATATTTACCTCCCAATCCAAGGTGCCTTTTCCTTTACTATGTACCTTTTTTACAAATTGATTTAATTGTTAAAATCAGGTATTGAATCAAGGCAATAGGTGTGACGTATCTAAATCTAACAATGCACCGTGAACAGCTTGAGAGTTTATCCTCTCGTCATTGCGGCGCATCCATCCGACCCAAATCAATTTGCTTTGGGCCTAACAGATGGTGGAGTCCACATACTTGAGCCTTTGGAGTCTGAAGGAAAATGGGGTACCTCTCCACCAGTTGAAAATGGTGCTGGGCCGAGTAATGCTTCTGGTGCAAATGGTTCAGAACCACCCCAGCGGTGACTAGTCTTTTAGAGAGGATACCGAGTATTTCTCCCTGGGAAACTGCACAATTACAATAGGTTCACATAAAACGGCATGACATCCGCTTTGCAGCCAAGGCATAGTGTTCATTGGTTACATTGTTATAGGATTGGTGTAAATTTAGGTGTTGGTACATCAGAGGTGGTCTGACTGTAGACTTGAAAAAACACATAAAAGGAAATCAGGGACAAATTATGTGTTGGTTAAGCTAGGAGCCCTGGCTGTTTTCTCATTGTTATTCAGCTTTTCAGAAACTTTTAATTAGTTAATATCACCATTTTTTAAGTCAAGCACAATTTTTTCCTTTTTGGGTTCTTGCTTATGCTTTTTGACTTTTGGGGTTTAAAAAGTTATTAAACTTTTTAAGACTATCAAACCCCCTAATAATCTCAGTGGCATGGTATCATGGTAACAATCAGCCCATATTTCCGCCGGGCAGCGTGGGCGGTGGAGGTGTCTCCCTCGTCTTGTGGGAGTCTATTATTTCAAGGGTATGGGTTTACAGTGGGCTTTACGGAGATTGCCCGCCTTACTCGTGAACAGGGCTGATTTCGAGGGACAGAAGACAGCACAACAATTCATCGTATCTCTGCAGTCTTGCCTCCGTTTCCTTCCCTCAGCCATTTTAACTACCGAATCTCAATCATGGGTTCGACAAATAGACTAGATTCTTGCAAAGTGGAGGAATCCAGATGGGTTGCTACATCTTTAACTGAACTTGAAAACAAGAGGCTTGAGTTCGATAGCAAATTTAAAGTTTAAATAAACTTGAAAGTGAAAAACCCACTTGGTTTATATATTGGACATGCGCCAGTATGTAAGTTTACTGTCCCAAAACGTTTGTACAATAAGTATTGTTCATTACCAGCCTCAAGCCTGAGAGAAATTCAACGACATTCATTAGGCTTGAACTTAGTTCGTTTATAACCAACTTAACCCAAGCTTTATGTTTTTTTGAGAACTCATCAATCAAGCCGTTTGAACGGTTCATAAATACGTCAAGTCATTTACCGTCTCATTTATAGCTACTTCTTATCCTTTATTTTTGTCAATAGTACCATTTGTACGGATTCTCAGGCCGTAATTGTTATAATCAAGCTAAGGGATGAACATGATGGCAAACCAGAAACCTCTGTTGATGAAGCGAAGGACGGAGAATGAAAAAAGACAATAACAACCAGGTTACAAACTGTAAAACATACTTCATTAAACATAGTCATAGGCTAAATATACATTATGCAAGGATTACACTCGTTAGTACAAAACAAATAGTGCCTTCTGAAATATATCTGGAGCCCCGAGAGTGAACTCACTCGACCTGTGCCTTTACCAAACACATCAAGATACACACCATTGCCAACTTTAACCCTCGATTTGTAGCCCTTATCAAGACTTACAAACACATCCTCTGATGGAGTCATATGGTTCGAGCAGCCACTATCAATAAGCCATTCAAGGTTGTCAATGTCATAAAGTGAGTCAGTTGAAGCCATAAATAACGTCTCTTCTGCAACTTCAGCTTTTCTGTAGATTTGAGGAGTTTTATCAGATGGTGCAAACTTAGTTTCGCAAACTTTGTCTACATGACCAACACCATTACATAATTTACACTTTGCATCAGATCTGAACCAGCAGTTTTCTTCCAAGTGATTGCGTTTCCTACAAAAAGAGCGACTTTAAACTTACCCTTTCTATTAGAAGA